TATACTTGCATGAGTGCGACATTTTTTTCTTGGCAAAAATAATGGCTCTATATTTTCCTCAATGTCTTCTATTTCTTAATTGTTACTTAAATTTAATCTGCCTAATTGTTCTGTAAATGATTCACTTTTTTCTTCTCCTTCCTGTTGTATCATATCTTCTAATTCATTTTGAGCTTTTGTACGTCGAGAAACTAGATTACCATTATATGTATATGATAAACAATGACAAGGAATATGAGTATTTCGTTGGGTTAACATAGAAGTTTCAGCTATATTAGAACCTACACTTTCTGAATCTGTAATAGAATCTAAAATTTGGTTAAAACTACGATTTCGTGGCATTGTGAGTAAATTTAGTATATAATCGAGCTATTGTAAATTATTATTGTTAAAATAAGACTTGAAATATTTTTTCTTTTTTTTCAAAAAAAATCAGGCTTTTATTAAAAAAATTAGTTACATTTATAGATATCGATAGTTTATTAATAGTTTCATATACTATGACCTTTATGTAACTAGTTTTATATACAATGAAATTCATATAGTTTCATATACAACGATATGGTTTCATATATGACGATGTTCTATTCATGCAGTTTTATAATACAATAGTTAGGGATGGAGAAGTTTGGTTTGATCTAATATCATGCATCAATCAAATTTCAAACTGAACCAAACGAATTAGCCAGGGCGGCCCTCCCAAAGTACTGTTACATAATGAATCTTCACTAATTAAGAAATGATAATATACGATTGTTGGAATATATAAGCAATTTACGATTGTTGAAGTTTAAAAACATATAGCTGCAGCTGCTGTGTTCATCATGTGACCAGTACTTTGGGGGCCACCCTGGCTAATTTAAACCAAACCAAACTTCCCCATCTCTAACAATGGTATATTTTCATGTAATTAAACTACGTGCATAACTATCGATAATGTTGTCATTGATGAATAAAGACAAAATAAAAAATAAGGTTATGTAATTTATCGATTACTAGACTTGCATTAAGAAATTAATTTTTAGACCCAAATTTTCAGTATATTAGCTGAATTAGTTGAGTATTATCAAATAATCTTCTACATGATATATAACAAAAATGATGAAAATATACAATCTAATAATTTAAAATAAAGCATAATAACAAGAGTATTATCATTAAATAAGATTCTAGTACATAACAAAAATGATAAAGTACATACTATTTAATAATTCAAAATAAAGCGTAAGTAATAACAATTTGAGTATTACCAAATGATATCTAGTAAATAAAAACGATAAATACAAAACAAAATCAATAGTATCATCAAATAAAGCTTTATATTTGTTAAATATAAATTTTAATGCGATCATATTTTTTTTGGTGAGTTCTTTATTTATCATCTCTGTGAATTCTCTAGTTATCATCTAAAATATGCATATAATTACTTATTTACGTAAATCAGTTTAGTGCAAAAGTAGCAAATTTCGCATCATAGCACAAACAATGTTGATGGCTATTTTGCTAAAAAATAGCGCTATTTTAAATGCTACAAAAACATGAGGGTTCTGATATATATACAATGTAATTGTTTACTAAAACAATTACATAGTATGCATATAAAATCGGGCATCAACCTTTAATTGATATGCTAAGGTAATCAAGTAATTAAATTTTTATTTGCCATTCTTGAAATAGTGATATATATAAATAGGAAGAAACTTTCATAAAAAAAAAAAAAAAAAAAAAAAAAAAAAATAGCTAAAACAAAAAAATCCATTTCTTCTCAATCTACAAAAAAGACAACACGACTATCAACAAATCAACCAATTCCAACCACTTCAGCTACATCAACAAAATTTAATAACTCTAGACAAACTACAACTATCCCTTCTATGCAAACTACTACATCTACCCGACTACAAAGATCCCAAAGCATACCATTATTACCTATTCTAATTTCATCACCTAATTTATCGCCAACCAGATCACCTGATTTACCCTCAAGCATATCTCCTCTCTTACCTTTAAGTTCAACCAAGAAAAATAGTATTTATTACTTGTGAATTTTTTTTTTTAAAAAAAAAAAAGTTATAGATCATCTTTTTAGACTAAAAAAATATATATTTTTAATTCTAGAAAATCAGCAAGTGCAGAATGAAATTGAAGAACTTTGTGCAGTTCAAAGACAGCAAGAACATACCATATTGAGTGTAAATGATACTCTTAATGATTTATTATCTTTTGTAGAATCCTTAACTAGTGAAATCAGCTCATTAAAAGTTTTAAGTTGGGCTGAATCTGAGGTTGGCAAAACATCAGCAGCTGCGCAGCAAAGACCTACTTCTGAATTTGCTGATGATGATAGAGAATGACGAAAATCACTTCGAGTATATTATTCATATTAATAAACATATAGTGTATATATATATATACATATAATTAATTATAAAATTTTTTTTTAATATTGTTTACTATTATAAAAAGAAATATTTCTTTTACTAGATGAGAAAGGTGATAAATATAATCTTGATTATAATGCTAAATGGGCTGAACAAAAACCCCGGCTAGCAAAAAATACACTTCCTGTTCCTCTTGAAGTTTTTAGAGAACGGTATAATACTAATAGAATTGAGCTATTAGATATGTTGCAGCAAAAATTAAAGTCAAGAAGAAGTCTCAATTCAATTCGAAAAGACGAAATTCGGTCTACCCATTTTGATGAGAGAAATTACAAAAACACTTGTAAAACTGAGGTAAAAATTTTATTTATTTTTAATTTAATTATTTATTTGATTTATTTATAATTTTATTTTATTCTAAATATTTTAAAGAAAAT